TTCAGTTGTATTGTTTGCAAGTTGGTAAAAGTCTGAGTTACTACTGGTGGTAGTTGGAGAGGAGAAAGTTGTATCAAAGCAGAAGAGGCCTGCTGACAGTATAGATTGTGAGAAAGGCTAGTTAGAGCCTCAGTTCAGTTGTGTGTGAAGTGTGAGATTCCAATCCAACGCATCGGGGCCCCAAAGCTGCGGAAGGAATCACAACACAGGGCAGAGGAACAGGTTTGTCTAATTCCTGTTATAGTAGCATGTGACAGAAGGTTAGTAGTGTAAAATCTTTGTTTTATGTTCCAAGTAACAACAGTCTTTTTAAAAACTCATATATATGTGCATTTTACTGGTATACGTTGTAAAAGGGCACACACAGCTTATGTAAGTTGCAGTTTCAAGGACACTCAAGCGTTGGAAGTTACCAAAGTTGATGGCCACATTCTGGCTAATCTTACCTCTGACAACACGCGATCCCCCGTGTCCTTCAATCGCAAATATTTTGACCTCTTTCCAAGATATACGGATATTTTTTTTCTTCAAAAGCACGAAAACGTACAAGCTTCAAGACGACACCAATAACCCCCAAAACGGACAAACGCCTGATTAGAATCACTGCTTCGTGGTGCAAATTGTTTCCAGACCCAAAGTGGTGGAGCAGGCCTCACAATATTGATCAAGACAGAAAAACGCGGAAATGGGAAATTGTGACTATTGTTTTTCCAGCTCCTCCGTGTGGTCTTTATGCGCCGTTACACTACCTCAGAATTAGAAAGTTCTATCTGATATTTTTGGCCTTTTTGAGTTACTAAGATCATGAGGTCAGAAGCCAAATGTTCCATCTACTCTATCAAAATCGTAAAAAATGTTCGGAGTCTTTATCAAGATATTCAAAGAATTACATTAAAAAAGCTTGATTTACTGCGAAACTCAAACATTAGACGCCAAATGTATCCAAACTAGGTATTGGGCTGATAGATCTGTGTAATTCTGAAGTAGCGATTTATCTCTGCTCTTTTCTCTCCCTTTGTTATAAATTCAATTTATTGCGCTTAGTCTTGGAGAAAACCTCATTGAGTCACCGAGCGCTTTCAACCCACACATAGAACAAACACGTTTCATTGTAAAATTACCTTGACAGTTTTGTCCGTTTCTCGACCCAAGTTAAGTGATGTCGAAAACCTGTTATTTTACTTCGCGTATCGTACCAACCTCATAGAAATTGGATGTTTCATCCTGACAAAGACAGATGAAAAGACTCAGTAGTATAGAGTCCTACTTGTTGAAATTGCCGGCGCGTTTTGTGTGGGAGGGTACAGAGAAGTTATCCTACACACTACAGGCGCCCATAGCAACAATGTAGAGCTATCTGCCACTTTAGAACAGCAGTAACAACAACAGCAACAACGACAGCAACAACTACAGCAAAAACGACAACAACAACATCATCAACAACAACAATAACAAAAACAACAAGACAACAGCAACAGCAACATCTACAACAACAATATAACAACAACAAGAAGAACAACAAGAAGAACAACAACAACTACAAAAACAATAAAAACAATGATTGCAACAACAGCAACAACAACAACAACAACAACAACAACAACGGCAACGGCAACAACAACAACAACAGCAACAACAACAAAAACAATGAAAACAACAACAACAACAACAAAACCCAACAAAACTGTTCCTGTTTCAACACATCTTATTTTCACCCGTTTACAGTTGTCTTCTTTATTTTCACAGATGGCCCCAGGTTCGAGCCCCGTGAGTTCCTCCTCCTGACTACCTTCTGATAAGTTCCATTTTCATAGTATATTCTCACTTGCTGATTCATATCCTCTCTCTTGGTCACTAGTTTAAGATATTATGCCACAAAATAAGCATGTTCACCTGTTTGCTTGCACTCTGAGGTGGAAAAAACTCTAATTGTCAGTATTCAAGTTTTGGTATTAAGATAAAATGAAAAAGACAAATTATTACATTACAAAGAAAGTAACTCCAGTGTATATTTGATTTTTGTTCAGGGCAAGTCATTATCCTTGAATATGATTATTTACAAAACAAAATACATGAATAAGAATATATTCAAAGACATAATTAATAAACTATGAAATAAACTGGAAAAACCAAACGTTAGATAAACTATTATATTCATATTATTGTGTCTACGTAATTGCTTAAGCCTTTAAATATCGTGACCATATATAATGAAGGGCTTAACGAATCAAAAGATTAATAAATCAGTATAATATCTAAAGGCAGTATTTGTGTTCATTATTTACTTATATTTTCAGATTCCTACAGGCTTAAGAAAATGTAGCAATTAAAGAAAGATTCACCCTTTCTTAACATACTGCCGTTCACTGTTACACTTACCATTGCCGATAAGTAAACTCTGCTTTGAGAATGGGTTAGGTAATTGGAGGTTGTTGTTCTTTTCTCAGTGGTCATGCGCAAACAAAAGCTGGCTGCTGATGGTTCACTGAGGATTTTGAAT